TCCCCCCCCCCCGCTGCCTAGCAACAGTGGTGCCATTGGATTTCCTGTATGTTCAGGCTGATTCCTTAAAGAGGAACTTCGCCACAGGAACAGGAACGCAGCTCTCTCCCCTTCACTGCTCCTCTAGTCCACAACATTACAGGATGTAAGATACTAGGCAGGTCAAAGGTGATGACACACCTCTGACAAGTGCAATTAACTCAAAGTCATGGGAGGTACAGTGTCATGTCAAAGATAAGAGTTGGTGGGGCACTTCTGATAAATAATAAACTAGAAACACCATGCAATGTAACACAATGGCCCTATTAATACTTGTTGAGGCTACTATTTTAGTTATGTGTGTGCTGACTCAATTCTTCAGTATGTTTTAAGGCTGTGCCTTTGTGTACACCACAAACTACAGTGTAAAAAATGACCCGAGTTAAATCAACACCTCTCTCACACTGTGTCAACAGTAATTAATTATAAGTTTCACAAAGGTAGCACCTATTGCAGGACTGTATGTACTGGATGTACTGGATGGTTTCTGCATTTCTTGTCAATCTGTTTAAGTATGCATTACAAGAATTGCCCTTCCTCCCACAAAGGTGTCTTTTCACCTACTTTGCAATCAGAAGTAGAACAGGTGACTGACGTTCCTGTAACAGGCCTGATATCTAAAACAAATCAACATGGGTGTGTGGACTTGCACCATATACCTGCTGCCTTTCTCTGCTAAAGAGAACACGGCAATCTTAGCCACACATGTCAGCAGTCAATAGAGCCCCACATGCCAGGAATAGAGCAAATACATACAATTCTTAACATAACGCACCTTAACAGTTCTCAACCTGTCAAAAAAAGGAGGCCCAGCTCGTGGCGAAACACATTCAGTTTGGAGAACACTGAAATCGGAGTGTTTTCACCAAGCTGCCTTTGAACAACCAGCTCCTGAGGCAATAGTTATTATATCGGCATCAATTGTAACAAGAGTGACAGCTACCAAGTTAGATTGATAGAGACAGCTAAGCCTGCTCTAGCACATTCGCTGGCCAACACCCAGCTTCACCTCGGGGTCTGGCTGGCACTAGTTAAACACCTGTAAATCTCCAAGAACAACTGTTAGAAAACAAAAGCAGGTGTCAGTGCCTGGGTGGGACACATCAGGGCTCAAACATATGGCTCAGGTTCTAGCTATGACCTGCCTCCTATTTAATAGCAAGGGGAAGCTGAGTTATATATATATATATACACATCTAACCATAGAAAAGCCTACAGTAACATAATCATTTCCCACTTTATGACACAGATACTTCATTAAAAATGAATCATCATGTTTCGTTTTTTTGTGAATTTGTTTTACTCTGTAGTGCATTTTATAACAAAAAAATGCTAAAGCGTAAATAAATTTGGCCCAACACACTCAAACAGAGGAAAGTAAACTCCTTACAGTTCGATAATTAAACACGTACTCATGTGTACGCACACTACACACATTTTCTTCATACCAAAAACCAGAATCTCAGCTTTTTTTTTTCCCCACTCACCGGTAGTCCATCCTCAGGAGTATCACCTTCCCCAAACTGCCGACAACCTGGAAAAGAGAAGAAAGAACCCAGACAGGGAAAAGATTAGAGGCCAGACCTGTTTATTTTATACACTCAAGCCAATAATAAGCATATAAAGCTTACAACAATAAAGTACTAACAGGTCAGAATCTGTGTGTCGACATAGTCTATGGCATTAAAACCTCATCAGCGGTATTTCATTTCATTTTTGTACATTACTAAACCCGTATCATAGCACATATACATATCATAATTTTTTGTGTCTTAGTGTGATTGACAAATAACAAGGGAACACTTGTTTGTGGAACTTCACCACTAGGGGGCGAAAATTTACAGAAGGCCAGTGAAATCATGTACCAGACTCTTCCACTTTCTTATACTATTTTGAAACCCCTAGCTACATTTCTAAGAATGTGTAATGCATATCATATTTACCACAGTAATTTCAGTCTCAATGCATGACATCTCCTCTACAAAGCATGTTTAAAGCAACAGATTTACATTGCTGATTCTTGTCAGGCCAGAATAGGACAAGACTTCTGCTTTCCTCTTGACTGTAGTCTAATGGGGAAATGAAAGCTGCTTTGTGTCAGTGGGGCACACAGAAGTTAATGAAATATGCATGTCTAGAATAATGTAACCCCGACCTCGGCTAAAACGCCATGTGCCATTTCCGCATCCAAAACACCTCGTCTGCTGATGCTGGAGTCAGAGCTTATGTTTCAGGTATCAGGCTGACCATGTTACAGCTTTTCATGACCACAGAGAATGAAACTGTGGACGGTGTAACCCGAGGAAAGACACTAATGTTACTGATATTTTAAACACAAAGTGCTATTTTGTTAAACCCCTTTCTACTTATGAAGCATGGTGATATTGTCCACACTGAGAGCACCATTGTTTAATAGACGATATTGTCCAACAATGGGGATGCCTCCAAAAAGTTTATGATTTGAATCATCAATCGAGGAGGGTCGACTCGCATTTTGTCACAACATGGAGCAACAGCATAGCAGGTAAAATGCCCACAAACCGCAGATCTTTGATGAAAGCAGAAAAGAGTGATAGTTAACGGAGGGCAGCGTGACGCCGAGCAGCGGAACAGTGACTGCTCCGACGCTCTCTGCTCAGCCCTAACAGCCCGGCAGGAGAGACAAACTGTGGTGCGCTGGGATTTTCTAATTGAATTATGAGCGGGACGCGCACTTTACTTTCACTGACTGTGTGGAAATCTGATATTTTCACATCACAGATAACAAAGAAAGGCATTAAAAACATGAGGTAGGCTAAAACATGAGACTCACGGAGAGGAACTGCTGATATGGGAGTTAAGTGTGGTGCTGAACTGAAAAAAATAAAAAATAAATAAATAGTCTTTGTATCGAACAGCCAAATCTGATTTGACTGACAAAACTTGAAGTCGGGTACAGCCCTATCTAACATTTTTGTTTTATTGCCCTTAGTCAAAATTTAGATTATTAAAGAACAATTTCTATGTAGTATTTTCCCCCATTGTGTTCATACGTGTCCACAACTTGAAATGGCCACACTTCATTGTGGGAGTTCAATGGATATCATTTATGTGATAGTTAACAACACCAAAAGTGAAGAAAAATGTACATAATAAAAGCTATGTTTATACATGCAAGATATTACCTACGCATGAATTAGTTTAGGTTTTAGTTTAAGTCAGAACTTCCAGTTGCATGATTAAGATTCAAATATTTGCTATTTACTATAATTATCACTGACATTCAGACTAGTATTGTGATTTTACCCATCCTTAGTAAACACACAACACTAGTGGGTATAATGAAAGCAAATCTAGCACTTGATTTTCAAGCAGCAGCAGCCAGAATATTCATGATAAAAAGAAAACGCTGTTGAAGAAACTTAATAGAAGACAAAACGGTTGGGGCTACAGTCTTGGCAATGTTGCAGAAAACAAGGATTAAACCATTTCCATTGGGATGAAGGGTAAACTGTTTGTACCTGGGGCATCAAGAGGTTCTTTTTTAAAAACTTGGGTTCACTTAATTAGGATCACCAAGGTCTCTTTTGAAGCACTCAGGCATCAGCTAGACTGTCTGCATTTAGGAAGGGAATACAGCAATACATGGCACAGAGAGGACAGAAGAATTCACTGGGCTTGTGTTAGACCCATTCAGTCTGTCTGTCTGAATCACATGGAGAAAGGTGTTTGTGTGTGTGTGTGTTTGTGTGTGTATGCGTGTATGCATTTCTCCACTACAGAGAGAAAGAGGCTTCCTGCAGCACGACTCTGGCAGAGCTGGGCCACGAAGCTGCCTGAGCCATGTGCCGGCCGTTGCCATGGCAACAGAGGACTGCAAGACTGATACACACACACACACACACAGGCAAAACATATTCTCCCTCTCTCTCTCTCTCTTGCTGCCTCTTCTCTCCCCACACACATTCACGCAGCAGTCCAGCAGCAGAACGATGCAACAGGAATACAGAAGAACCTGCCTGCCTGAGCTGAAGAGAGGCATTACACAACACTGGCAGCACACAGAAGATGCCAGCAGAGAAAGGAGAGCAGAGGCAGAAGGGGATAGCAGGGGAAAGGAGAGAGAGGGAGAGAGAGCGAGAGGGGTGGCAGGCACTGGGGAGATGAAACTCACCATCACTTGCTGTAAGCTGACATTCACAGGAGAAGAGTTCAAGCGTTTACTAGCAGACAGAAACTGTATAGCCACTGGGTGAGGTGAGGGGGATGTGTTTAATCACATTGGCCAGCTATCAGAGATGCTCAACCTTCTTCCCAAAGCTTCCTGTCATGTGAACTAGGGTTTCTGTTTATTAACTATTTATTATTGCTTCATTTTCAGATTACTTAAGATGTCAAAGAAAAGCCCAGAAAGACTTTCTTCATATTGCCTGGTGGCTGATAAAAAACAAAATAAAAAAATACTCAGTTTGCTATCATAGAGGAGTAAGAAAAACCAGCAAATATTCTTTGTTCTCCATCTTCAACAAAATGTACAGGCAGAGCGATTAGCAAAGCCAGGCCTAACAGTTGTTGCCCGTGATTACCTTTTATCTAGACTATGTGTGGACTTGGACCAGGAAGTGCAAATCTCAGATCAACGCTTATCATAAGCCTTTTTACGATATGTTCTGCTGTACCTCCTCTATGCTCCCCAGGGTTCCCAGGTCTAGAGAGTAAAGGAGATTATAGCTCCCCAGCCAGCCAGCCTCTTGTGTAACATGGGGCTGGGTGGCAGATTGCTGAGCTGGCGATTCTTCTGCTAATTGGATGACTTTGCAACCTCTGGCACTGTACTGAAAAATAATGCTTATCAGGACCCAAAGCTGCTAACTAAACTCAGAGACTCCACCCAAGTGTAATATCTAGTTTAGCTTTTAAAAAACTGCATGATTGCCACACTGAGCACAGACAGACCTAACCCTACCCTTTTTTTTTTAGACTGGACTAGCCAGTCCTCAAACTTACCAACCCTTCCTCCAATGTCCTATATTACCCACTGTTTGGGCACAGCGTTGCCCTGCCAGTCTCTACAGGAAGTGGAGAGTTTATCTGGGCAGCTGGTGCTGATAAGATAACGCAAGAGGGTCATGCTTGGGTGAATGAGCAGGTAGCAGTGTGTGTGTGTGTGTGTGTGTGTGTGTGTGCGTGTGAGGGTGGTGGTGTTGGTGGGGTAGACTCATCAGTGCTAATCAATGCTATGCATCTCTCCTAGAACAGATGCTAGGTCAGCCATTACAAAGCCAATGACAAACAAGCAGGAATACAGGCTGTAGACACCCGCTAATAGAATGCATGCCATGTTCATACACATACACCCATATTATTTTACACGTATTGGATGGCTGCCAACACACATAGTAAGAGCAACCTCTTAGTGGAGATTCCAAATAAACTTGGTGTTTTGTTGATAGGGTTCTCCATAGGGACACACATGCAGGCACCATTAACTACCAGCCAGCACACACACCTTGGTTGATGTCCTCAATGGCCCGTCGTATGCCCCGGTCAAAGGCACGGGCATCAGCAGGGCTTTGGAAAGTAAGTCCAAACTTCTTGTCGTTGATCCTCCAGTGGTGGAAGATGGGGTTGACCTTGTTGTATACTACGTCTTTCTGCAGGACACACTCCAGGACCACCTGACAATACACAACACGCACACAGAGTTAAATATGTCATAATTCCAACATTGTAGTTAGATTTGGTCAAGCGAAAGGTGTTAGCATAAGGACTGGAAAGTGCATCATTTAATAATGATGAAGCTCACTGGGGAACATATGTAAATCCTTCATCTTACTCCTCACCCTAAGCTGTTTAAATGTGTCACATTCAATCATCCCACAGCAATGTGAGTAAGGGAATAGAGAGAAAGAGGTTGGAAGTAAAGGCCTGCATTTGGAACTACATAACTCCAGGGTTTCTAAAATAGAAAACGAGCAAAAAAAAAAATCATCTTAAGCCAAATAATTTCACATACTTCTTTGAATAATTTGTAAAACACATTCTAAATGGTGGGGTTTTCATTACAGATGATGATAAAGTTGGAGAGCAGTGGCGGTGGCAGAAGAAGGGGGGTTGAGTATGTTTTGGAGCCAGGCAGCCCAAGTGTGTGGCAGAGAGAGACTGTGTTTTCAAAGCCTATTATTAATCAGGGCTACTGGGCCGCCTCCCGGCCTTCCTCTAGGCAGATTAAATGAAATGAGAGACGGCCATTACAGTCTTTGAGGTTTTTTTTACCGACGTGCACGAGAGGTGGCTTAATGGGGTGTGAATGTGTGAGCGTGCTCATGGCGATCTGCGTGAGAGAATGCGTGAGCGCAGAAGCTGGTGTGATGAAAAGCTCAATGACCCAAGTGGTACACTGTGCATCTTCGCAGTGCAAATGCCCCGTCGGAGGATAATGGTCACAAACCAATACTCGACAACTGAAAGCAGATGGCAGGGTTCCCCGTCGATCTGGACAACAGTCAACATGCACACTTTAAGAGGCTGATGCGTGGCAGCTGTGTGAGAGGTTGATGATATGTGATATGTGTGTCAGAGAGGGTGCACACAGGTCTACATTTCATTCTGAATGTCTGAGTGAGAGCTGCCTTCTTACACTTGGTTTGCAACATTTACATTTTTCGGCATGCAGAAAGATGTGTGTCGCAATATCTGTCCTCATGTCAATACTTCCTTACATGCCTCCCAAAGAAAAGAAGGGGCAAAGGTTAAGCCTGTGTGTTTACCCAGAGCCAGTGGATGAGAGGGACGGATGTGAGGAGGATGGGGTGGCAAGAAAGGGTGGGGTGGGGTTGTGGGGAGGGGGTCCACCGTGCCTCCGGGGCTGATTGTGGAGGCGAGACTGAATGGAGCCGGAGCAGGTAAGGTGAGCGCACAGCGTGGCCGACAGAGGAGGAAGTATCACAGTTGCATGGAAGGACGATACTTAACACCGCATTCCACACTGTGCTCAAAGAAAAGAGAGGAGGAGCAACTCTGACAAAAAAAAAAAAAGAAGATAGAAATGGAATACAGGCTGGAGTTGAGGACTGACACAGAGACAGACGGAGGTGAGACAAACAGAGAGAAGAGGGCGGAAATGGGGGAACATGGAGAGAGACGTTTACATGCTCAACTCAGGCTACAATATATAGAACGCTGCCTTTGGTAATTACAACCTGATTATCGTTTCAAGACATTTTAATAACAATGTTTGGAATAAAGTGTTTATTTTGAGCATATACAAGTAATCTGCTGTGAATTGGTGTATGAATGAAAGACTGTACGCAATAATATTAAAGCACTGAGCTTTGAAGACTTGGTAGGAGGCATTGGTTGCAACTGATACAGATTTCTCCCCTCTCCCAAGACCTACATTCAATAAACCATATTTTGCTAGCAAAGATAAGTCAAAACAATCACATGACAAGATTAACAGCAAAAACAACAACTGTATTGAAAGGGTGCTTTGCTCCAAGGCAAAGCCTTTTAGAGTTAAGCCTGGACTACACCACAGTCACAGCTGCATCAATCAATGGGAGTCACAGACTACGAACGACAGGAAGTGAGGTGAGAGCTAAGCCAAAGATTTGTCATAATCCGAGAGCCGGTACGGTAAGTAATCATCAACCAATTAGATCTGTAGTTTTTAAGAGAGTCAGAGAATCAGAGTGAAGGAGAGACAGAGAGAGAGAGCGAGAGAGAGAAGGGAGGGGGGGCAAGAAGAAGAGTGATTGGTAGCTATATGGAGAGCCAGCTGAGTCATCACCAGTACACTCTGTGCCGCATCACTGCGCTTATAGACAGATCCCCTCCACCTCTTCAGTCTCCCGTCTATCTGGCTCCACCTGTTTCCTGCTCTTTGACTACACACATCTCTTTCCCTGATTCATCTCATATCTTATGCACCCCCAATCACCTCGTTTCTACCAGCCAAAATCGTGCCTTTGTGATTTCAAAATAACTGCATCTCTGCTCTGTTTTTTTGTTCTCTCTCTATCTAGCTCAGGTTCCTATCAGGGATGGAGACTGTCATTGTGCTTTCCCTAAAACACTGAAATGACATCCTTTAAGACGACATAGAAATGCATCTAAAACATGGAACAGCATCTCCCTTTTTCTGTGTTTTAGACATAACAAATCAAACCAAACAGCCTTTCAAACATTTAGAAGCTCTTCCCTATTTTTGTTTTCAACATCACTCATACAACATAATTACGGTCTTTCATTTACCTCCGAAATCAAAACACTGACGTTACTGTTTTAGACAACACTGTGGTAACAAGTACTGATATTGAGTTCTTTTTCACTGTCTACCATATTCTCATGTGGTTTTGTCTGTTGCTGTTGTTTTCATGGACTCATCACTCTGCCGCTCCTCTCCTGATGGCCTCAGACTGTCGGTAGCGCTGCGGTTGACGCCAACAGCATGGCACTGGGTGGCATCTCGACAGACCTACATATGGCTGGGTGTTTGTTGTGGTGGCTGGGGGTAGACTCTGGCGGTGATAGGGGTGTTTTACCACATCCCAGAAGAGATGCCAGGGTATCTGAGCCATGTCTATGCCCTGTCTGAACAACAGCATTCCCGCCACACCCTTTCCTGTGCCACACACACGCTTGGATAGCAACGCACAAAACACAAACATGCCGTAAACACAAAACACACATAAAAAGTGTTCAGTCAAGGAAGATTTAAAAAAGGTGATTTAGAGGCCCTGCTGTAACAGGCCTCTAATGTCGGATTGTCAGAAGACACCAGACTCTGCATCATGGTGGCCTCCACAGTCTCCTGACATCTGATAGACAGTTCTTTCTCTCTCTCTCTCTCTCTCTCTCTCTCTCGTGCACGCAGATTTACACTCTCATTACCACAGACCAGGATTATCCCAGTGCATCTACTGGATCTGTTTAACATCTACAACATAGAATGAGTCTGTGACAAGAAGGTCATGAGCTTTAAAGCAACTACAGCAAAAGCCACAAATATTAGTACAGAAACAGAAAAAAACAGAATCACCTCACACTTTGTTGTACATAGCAGGGCTGCACAATTAATCTAATATTAATAGCGATCACAATTATGGCTTCCCACATTTAAATGAAGGTGATCGTATACAATATTGACAGTTACAATGGGTGCTCAACCCATGGAAAACTCAGCTGCATATCAAATCAAGCGCTTCCTAAACTCACAGCCAGCCACCAGGGGTGATCGAGACGTTATGGTTTAGCTTTTGGAGAGGTGTCATGTCGCTGCACACACACCATGCAGTTAGTCTGGATACTTTTATTCCCACAAAAAATGCAGTATGAAGTTACTGTTTACAAAAACTGAACATTTTCTACTGCTGCCGCTCACATTAAAAGCATTTAACTGGCGAGACAAGTGTAGCTAGTTATAGTCCAAAGCGTTTGTCAGTTAACTTGAGCAAGTGAGTAACCAAAGTTACTTGGCAGTGCTCTGTAATCGTGAAATAATCGTGAACTCAATATTGATAAAAAAAGAATGAGAGATTGTAGCAATACGCTGTATAATCATATAGCAAAGAGTTAGAGAGGAAACCTGTAATGCATTTAGAGTACAGTAGTGCTTAGTGTGTAGACTGCCGTAATGGCAGCTATTTTGATCATAATTCAAGCAAAATTCCCTAACATTTGCTGGTTCCAGCCTCTCAAATGTGAGAATTTGTTGCTGTTGTTTGTCTTATATGATAATGAAGTGAATATCATTAGGTTTTTTCATCTATTGGTCAGCAAAACAAGCAACTAGTGTTGCAATGGTATACCCATACCACGGTATGACTTGAAATTCAATTGAATTGTTATCATACTATGTACATTTGCTTATCTACAGCATTGATTTCTACCATATTAGTGCTACATGAAATATACTAATAATATATAAACATATATTTCAAGTTTATATCAAGTTTCATGTCTGTCAAGACATAGTATTTTGTGAAATTATAGTAAAGCATTTGTTCAACCAAAAGCCCTTCTGTTTCCATTCCTTTAAGGGAGAGAGAATTTTACGCTTTAGACATTTAGGATTTTTCCCGGCTGAATTTACCGACACATACAGTCTTTACATCGCAAATCCAAAAATTGGAAATGCTTATAAAAACACCTGGTACTCCTGGAACCCCACAGTGAGTGTGAATTTCCAGCCCCTATTCCATCATTTAGGTCGCTTCCAAGCTCTTTGTGTGTTTCCCACATCCCTCATCCCACATTCTTTTCTGCCCTTCTCCCTGATGATATCATCATGCATCACAGCATCACGCAGTTCGCTCCTATTTTCAGATACCTGCGCCATGGAGGAAAGCCAAATAACCACTTCCTGTGTGTGTGTATGAGTGTGTGAGTAAGACAGAGATAGGGGAGTCTGGGAATGGGGGACTCAGGGTGATCTCATCCAAGAGAATGCACCATCTCTGGTTTGTGCACTTGAATGTGCATGAAAGGAATGACTAAATAACAAGGAAAGAAAACGCATCAACTTTATAATTGCATTTATAGTATTAATATGAATCCATGCAGCGTAGCGTAAGGTTCCCTTACCAGTTTGTCTTTGAGCCTCTCGCCCTTAATGTGGAACTCCACAGCAGTGGGGCTAGGACTAGGGCTGGGGCTGGGACTAGGACTAGGACTGGAGCTACAGGGACTGAGGTTGCTGCTGCTTCCTCCGCTGCCTCCACTGTGGGTGCTGTTGCTGTCCTCCGCCCGGCTGACCTTATAGACGGTGACACAGCTAAGGCCTCCGCCCCCCAGGGGAAGCCATCCACCGCTGGAGTCATCCCGAGTCATGACCACTGCTCTCACACGCGCATAACTGTCACTGTAGAAGAGGAAGGGAGGTGAGAGACGGGTTGAAGGAATAAGAAGAGAGGGGAACAGCAAAAAGAAAACAATGCTTTTAGTGAACATAATCTGTAGTAATCAGCATTTAACATTTTCTATCAGGTCCTTTCATTGAGGGTGTTTTCTGATGACCTTTTACGTTACAAAAGTAGACAAGCCTACATGAAATATCAGCACACATAATACAGTTAAACCGCAGCATAAACAAACACAGCACAGTACATGTAGCCTACACAAAATGGTTATTGAATGCGTAATGAGGAACACACTATACAGACATACAGAGAACATAAAGCGAGGAAACCTATGTGTCTATGTGACATGCCACATCCCACTAGAACTACTCTGATGTTGAGATGAAATAAAACAAATGAAACCATGGGGAAATCTGGGTGGTGGCACAAGCCATTACTAGTAATAAGCTAGCCTTAAAATCTCCAACAAAACAAAAAAAAAGAAGAAGCAAAGTCAAGGATTGAACTCTTAAATGTATATTAGGTTTTACTGCATGATATAACAGACTACTGGCTATGATTTCTAAAGTCTGAAGCAGTCAGTGTATGTTTAACCCCAGCCAGAGGGTGACTGACCATGTGGCCAAGTTCAGGCTCTCGCCAATGCTGATTTCAAACCTTTCCCCTAAAGCAGGTGCTTTCAAGCTACACGACGCATGACAGGGGCTCCAGCTCACATCAACCCCTTTCTTTTTTCCGCTGGTACTTTTACTACGTTTCTCACTCATCTTTCTCAGGCCTCCTACTAGGGCTTTGACTCGTGGCATTATACATTGTAAGACGGTTATCTAAAAGACATTACATTATATGTTTAACTGAAGGAAAAGTTACTAATAACAAAGCAGGAATGAAAGGTAGGTGATATTATTCACTGTATAATGAAAGACTATATGTATCAGTGGGTTATAGACAGCTGACATAAGGCAGTGTGTACAAAAATGCATAAATCTTCAGTTCTTTCTGATATACTGTAACATAAATACATACGTCACAAGTCAAATGTCAAACAGCCACAAAGTGGAAAAAGGCTGAACTGCCATCCAGTGTAATAATCCACATCCTAAAGTCTGTAGAAAAGAAAAGAAACAGCTCTACCACAATGGCTCAACTTAATGTATCGCTACATTGGTATGTAGTAGTATATATGTAGACTGTATCACACCATACTCTGATACTGACTATTAATTATACATCATAATTCTATGTCTATTTGCCCCTCATTTCATTTTTCTTTCCCTCCCCACCTCCTCTGCTTCTGTCCCTTCACTTGGAGTCAGATGCTTCCCTGATTAGATAACACAGACTGCATTGGGCCACCAGAAATGACAAAGGTCAGGGTGTGCTGAGGGCAGCATTTTGCAGAAACTCCTGGTGATATATTAAAGACTGGGGAAGATCTGAGAGCTGATAGAAACGGGCAAAGAGAGTGAAGAATGTGCCTGCCGGATGTCTTCCTGTGACACATTGCTCTCTGGCCGACGTCCGGGTAGACCGATGAGGACGACGTCACAGGGTCACAAGAGTTTTGCAAAGACTTTTTTCTCTAATAGACGCCAAATATTAAACTGTGATTAAGGGAGGGAAATGTCAGTGACTGACAACATGTAAACTAGTAGCTCCTGCTCTAAGCTGTGTCCTCCCCCTTACTGCCTCTGTTATCTAAATCTTGGTCTACTCAATAAGGCTAACCTTTGGCCTCCTGCCTTCCACACCCTTGGCAAACCTCAGTGCCCAGGTTATTGGTTAGTAATTAATCTTAAAAGAGCCAGTGAGCTTTAAATCTGAAGTTTTTTTTTTTTCTTCATGTGAAGGCTTTGATTTGCTGGCACCTGATAATAGTTGACCAAAGTTCTCTCAAAGGATTGATGAGCATGATAAATACGGGGTAACTCAAAAATAAACCAACCAACCAAACAGATTGCATTTTTGAAAACCACACACTTAGTTCTGGCCAATTCTGGTCTTTTCAGACACATAAACACAATATTCTTTGCCAGAATCAAGACGAATATGCTATTCCAACATCTCCTCTCACCAGCAACCAACTTAAACCTATTTAAGGGTTTCTTTAAAGCAAACTATAAACAATATTTTCAACAACAAAAAAAAAGAATATCAAATTGTATCATATCACAATGTGAAAACAGTATGACCTTGTGAAAGGGGTCGCTCATAGCTATTAATCTAGAATCTGCAGCTCTCCTCAGCTTTACAAGTTTCAGCTCATTGTTTTGCTGTAGCTGTTTTGGTTCATTCTCAGCGCTCTCATAGGATTGTTTTCAGTGAAAAAGCTCTAAAAACCCAATCTACATTACCTGCTGTGTAAACGTAGTGGAGCAGTTAGCAGCAAAAAAGTCATATATTTCTACACAGGAGTTGGTAGAGACCGAAAACACAGCAAAAGAGACTGAATATTGAACTTACATTCATTAGGTAGACAGAGACACAACTGCAAATTAATGCTAATGTTGCTCCATAACTGCTGGATGTGTAAATAAACAACTGCTTGCCATATCAAATTAAAAGGTGGTGATATGTCAATGTTGTGTAAATACCGTTTGCCCTGCCCCAAGCAGCCAAAAGCGTTTTACATCATGCTGTTTAATTACTTCTGCCACTATTACTGCTTCAAACCCAAGCGAGGTGATTTGGCATGCTGCTGTCATTACAGAAAGATGTTCGTAAAATGATGGATCTATCTAAACGTAAGCAGCAAATCATAGTTTACACTTTTTATTATATATTCTTTATATCCTTGATCATCTTTACTTAACCTTCACAGAAGATTTACTTTATTAAAGCCCAATGGGGAAATAATTTTTCCATGTTTTCAATGCACAGGGCTTATACACATGCAAATGTGGAGGCATAGCGGAGTGATGTGCTGTCACATAGCAGCACATAGTGAGAGCAGTTAGGTGCCTCGCTCAAGAGTACCTCGGCAGTGCCTGGGCAGCTACCATTCCACTCTCCATACTGTGATACTGTGATACTGTGATCTGTGCTGGACTTGAACCGGCAACCCTCTGGTTCCCGAGCCATGTCCCTACAGACTGACCGACTGCAGCCCCGAATGAGTCCTCGCAAATCAATACGTCCAACCGATCCTTTGGTCAGACTGAATGGCTAATAAATCCTTAAATTATTCAAAATTTAGTAGACACACACCACAGTCCTTCATCAGTCATGGTTCAAACAAAAGTGGACAACACTGGAAGTCTTTCAGTTGTCGTTATTATAATCTTAATTCCAAGGACATTTTCAAATATTATGTTCTGATTTTTCTGCCACTTAATGAGTGAACTGATCCAGATATAAGCAACTATTTTGCCAATCAAATAAGTAGGAGCAAATCATAATGGACTGTAGGGCTGGACAATAACAAATACGGAATTTATTGAATTACCAACATTATCTCTCATGAACTTAAATATACTCACATCACAATTCTCAGTTTTTTTCTCTCACATGCTCGAGCTTTAACAGTAAGTGGCTGTGGGAGACTGACACACAACCACAACTTACTTCCCCCTTGCAACCTCCAAGCAACACCCTTTCTGTTTATACCTAATAACAGCACCACAGAAGTAGTTCTAAGACCTACATGAGAACCCTTGCCAAGGCAGAAAATGCATTTTTGAGCAGTACAACAGGCAGTAAAAGAGGGAAATACTGCTGCTGTTACACCCCTCTATGGCCCCCAATAAAGGATGCGAGTGATGGGTGCAGGAGGGGCTGTCAATCAGGCAGGGGTCCCTGGGGTGAACAGAAGGCAGGCGGTGGTGTCGCTCAGCCATGACCAGGGCACAATGACCAGGGCCTGACCCTTCAGACCTACCATCACACACATGCCAGCAACCATGACACTCACAGGGAGGGGGGCCGGGCCCAGAGAGGAAGTTAAGGGGACTGTGTATACTCGCATTTTTGCATCTAGCTTAAAACACAGATGTCAACATTGTTTTAAGAGTAAGATCCTCCCTGTAGGTGAATGGTCAGTAATTAAAATCGAATCTCTAAAGTACACTTCGGAAACCTGCAGACCAACAACTAAAACTCAACTCAACCGACAACAAACTAGAGTACTAGACCCATTTAACAAAATCTTTGAAACAGGGGAATAAATTAATAAATGTATCTGCTTTTACTTTTCTTTCTCATGGTAAAACCATTAAGTGGTCTAAAAAGATGTGCAAGAGAGTGCAACCTGCTGCAACACACACACACACAGTTCAAAGTGGAATAGTGGAGACAAAGGCTGGCCTCCACGCCCCTTGCTGGGAGCACACAGTCGACTGGACACACAATTGAGAGCGGAAGCAGATCAGCTGGCCTGGGCCTGCGAGCCGGGGGGGGGGAGAGACAGAGAGAGAGAGAGAAAGGAGCCCCCCATTCCGAATTATTCCAAGTTATTCTGCTGGATGACTGACTTCATTTCCGACCAAAAGCAGGAGAGAAATACAGAGGGAAGGGTGAGAGTGTAACGGAGGATTGAGGGGGCAGGAGGAGGAGGAGGAGGAGGTGACTGTGGATGGGAACAGGGTGGAGACCAAGGTGACAGTCAACAGCTCCCAACCCCATTTAAATATGACCTTTTCAATTCATAAAAAGGATGTGCAATATGACCTTATGCAACAAGAAAATTAAGAGTATCTTACTATTTCAAACCTCTTTTAAAGTGAGAGCAAAGAGCAAACAAAACAGCATGAGGAGAAGAGAAGAGAAGACATGATGGGGGAGCACGTGCAGACCAGGAAGGCCTGGGCCTCGAGGCCGGTTGCAGTGTATGGCGGAGAAGGGGGATCCTGGGACAACCATTTCCTAAGTTGACAAAGTGGCCGTTTGTCTGCTGCTCCGGCCCATGGCTCACTGGGCTCCAGCATGCCATCATGCTTTGCTCCTGTCTCAGCCCTGGGCTTCCCACCCCAGAGGGGAGTGGTGGAGGGGAGGCGAGGCAAGGACA